ATAGATGGATACGAGTTTCTTCTTTTAATATGCGCTCACTTATGTACATACAAAAAACCTAGCAACAGGGTTTTTATGCATAATTATAGACATACATATGTATGTATATTAATATGCATATACAAATGTAAGTGCTAACAGCAATGTTAGTTGCTCCTTGTGGCAAAATAGACGACTCTACATTAGGGTGCTTTTTTTTTGCGACTATTTTTTTTTTTTCGGTCCCATCGTGAAATTTTGTTGGAAATACCCAAAAAAATATTCCCTGAAAGTTTGAGCCCTTAATATTAATTTTAAGTACTCGGCCAAGGCGTGTGAAGATTTTCCATTTAAAATACACGGGAACTTTTATTTTTTTTTTTTAATTTCTATAGCTCAGCGGCATTTAATGGTATCACCTTGTCCAAAATGGGGATTTTCTCAGCATTAAATGCTCTACAAAAGTGCCCACTGCGGCGAAGTCGTAACTCACACCGGCGAGGTAGTACGGGCCACTAAACCTGATTTTTTCATGAAATTTACGTTTTTTCGCATTTATCTCGTAAATGACAAGAGCTATAGAAAAAATGTAAATGAGAAACTTGTAGGAAATTTTATTTCCTACAAAAAAGCTCATTAGCGCTTAATCGCTTCAATACTGCTTGAGATATTTCAATTTTAAGTTTATGAAGTTTTAAATTTTTATCAAAAATCACGTAAAATTAAATGATGTCTACATTATATTATCACACTTTTTTTCTGCGAATAAGACGGGACCTGGTGTTTCTGAACGGATTTTTCGTGCTGAACACGAATCCGGGGTCAAAAATGTCCCATCACGTCACGTTTTCGAGAAAAAAGGGGTTGAAACCCCTAAAAACAGCGTTTTTGGCCATTTTCGAAAAATTATAGAGCTGAACCCTGACGTGGTACAAATTTTGCATATATCAGAAATGAAAGGCTAAACCGTGCCCTTTCGAATGAGCCCTATGCCGAATTGATCGCGTGCACCCTTAAAGCAGGGGGTGTATTTGTGTTTAGGGGTGCAGGAAAAATTGATCACAGAAAGAATTTAATCTTAAACGATCATAGAAAATTAATAATGCCAAGGTTTTAACTATATTAAAAGTCGCTGATTACGAATCTGCAGTTAGATTTTAAAAATTTAAGATGACGGGTCGAATATGGTGGATATAAAAATTGGACTCCTAGACACAAATACACCCCCTGATCTAAGGGTGCATGCGATTAATTCGGCATAGGGCTCATTCGAAAGGGCACGATTTAGCCTTTAATTTCTGACATATACAAAGTTTGTAGCACGTCAGGGTTCAGCTCTACAATTTTTCAAAAATGGCCAAAAACGCTGTTTTTAGGGGTTTCAACCCCTTTTTTCTCGAAAACGTGACGTGATGGGAAGTTTTGGACCCCAGATTCGTGTTCAGCACGAAAAATCCGTTCGGAAACACCAGGTCCCGTCTTATTCGCAAAACCCTTGTAGACCAGTGTTATAAAAAATATTGTTCTTTTATTATTTATCACTACTTTTTTAACTAATTGCCTTTTTTTTTAAGATGAAAGGGTAACAAATTTTTTATAATTTTACGTGATTTTTGATACAAATTTAAAACTTCATAAACTTGTTTTTACATGAACTGTACATACATATTTGTTTTTTTAACATAAGAATCAACATTAGGAGTGTTCGCTACGCAACTGCCATTAAGAATTAGCCAGTAACAAAATTCAGAGAATAAGGTACCTTAGTCTCCCAAAGAGAGAAACTTACTAAGTTTGGCGCGAACAAGAATTAGCAAAATTTGCAAGCTTCACTGCCATCTGGCGTCCACGGTTGCATTTCGAGCATAATTCATTTTTTAAATTATTTCAGGTGGAAATCAAAACAAGACCTATACGTATATTTCTTCTTATTCTGACTTTCTTCAACATACGCTTCAATTTCTTTGTGGAAGTCACCCTGTCGGATTTCCTATTTCGACAGCGGTGTCGAGTGCGTTCCGATTATGAATACAGCTTTTTCAGCCGAGTACCTTTCAAATGTTTGGAATTAATTAAATTAATTGAATAAACAAATATTTCATACTTCTTTCATTAGTAAATCGCAACAAGATTGTTAATTTTTAAATTTAACGAACTTGTTGATTCAAATTATTGTTGACAAAAATGCAACCGTGTGCCACAATCCTGCTTGCAAATTCTTACTGGCAAAAGTTTTCTCAGCAAGAATTTGCAACTTCACCTCCAAATGAAATGTCAAAATTGTGCTTTCTCCTTGCAAGTTTTACTGTGTTATTCGGACGAATTAACAGCACAGGGCGCTCTCAGCGCTGAATAGCACTGTTATGTGGGCATGTATGTTAGATTCATAGGATTTTTAAAGTCCTGCAGTTCCATTTTTAGGGAAGTATTTAAACTTTTTTTTTGCCTAAGACAATGAGAAGCCCATATAACCGAAATTTCAAAAAAATCGGTACAGCCGATCTCGAGCTTTGCGAACAGAAAAAAACGGCTTTCAAAATATATATTAGTATAGATAACAATTTAATCGCACTCAATCACCGCGCCTTTTTCGCTTTCTTTGTTTGTTTTCATTCTTAGGCAGATGCCAAAAACGCTCAGAAATATACTTTTTTCTTGCTTCTTTGATTAGATGATCTTGTATTTTTGGTTCATGACGTAGTACGACATAGATTTGCAAAAAATTAAACCGCTGGTCGCGCTGACGTCAAAATAAAAAGTACGTTCGACATAAAATGTATGTTTTCTTCCTGTTAAAAAGTTTTTCAAGAACAATATATCCAAAACGTTTTCAATGGAAATTTTAGTAACTTAGCACCAGATAACATCACGTCAGATAATTCAGCTGATTAAACATAAAGCAGAAAAGATTTTTACATTTCAAAACTTGGAAACTTAACCTTAAACATTTCTAATATTACTACAAAAGTTTTTATACAAATAGTCTTGCCCAATTCGCAGAGTTTTGCAATTTTGTAATCGAAGTCAAAGTCCACTTCTGTCTTTTGTAACGTCACGCGAGCCCGGAAGGAGTAGGTACTGGAGTCCTTGGGCCCAGAACAAGAATCTCTGTTCCTATGGGGAAATATCCGAGCATCTTGCACGCAGAAGTCTATGCCATCTACCTATGTGCGGAGACAATCATGAGTAGAGGGTACAGAAATGAGAGAATTATAATGTTGAGCGATAGTCAAGCCTCGAAGCCTCATACGAAGTCAAATCCTCCTTGGTCCTTGAGTGCATTGAGAGGCTAAACTCCCTTGGCAGACACAATAACATCATGTTAGCGTGGGTACCCGGCCATAGGGGAGTAGAGGGTTATGAGGTGGCTGACTGTCTCACTAGAGAGGCGGCAGCCATCACTCCAGTTGGCCCACCACCCTTCCTGGGAATAGGTCCCAATACTATAAAGGAGGAGCTTAGGAGAGAGAGGTTCACACAAAGGGATCTAAACTGGCGCAGTTCGGGAGGAATGCGCCAGGCAAAGAGTTTACTGGGAGGGTTTAACAAGAAGAGATTCCAAGGCTTAATAAACCTCCCAAAAGAGAGGCTTAGAATTGTAACAGGTTTTCTTACAGGACACTGCAGACTAAGAGGCCACCTACTTAAGCTGGGCATATGGTCGAATGATCTATGTAGGTTCTGTGACTTGACCAGCGAGACGCCGCTTCACATTCTCACCGAGTGTGGTGCAGTCTGCAGAAGACGTGAGAGGAGTCTAGGCTCGTTGTGGCCACAGCTTGAGCACATCCACTCCCTACCCCCGAAGGCCCTATTGAATTTTCTGAGAGATTTTACCTTAGATCAAGTGATGTGAAGAGAAGAGGGCACAATAGATCACCAGGTCGCGATGCACACCTCATATTAATATCTATCTATTCATTTTAGAAATTTTAATTCAATATTAAAGGATTTGGAGTCTTGTAAATTGGTTTTTATGCGCGTCATTAAAAAACAATCACTGTAACAACCATACGAAGGACCTTACAAAGTTGTGGAAAAGAACAAAAAATATTTCAAACTAGAAATGGAGAATGAAATTAAAACAATTCCGATAGACAGACTAAAAAAGCAATAATTGAAACAGCACTAACATCTAATAAAGACGTTCATAACGAATAACACCTCATCAAATGGGAAACGAGTTAATTTTAATCCGATTCCGATTCGAATCGAATTGCAGAATAGGGCTGATAATGAATAACACCTCATCAAAGAAGAAACGAGTTACTTTTAATGTATAATATATATATATCGTCGTTTAAAGTACAAAACCGCGTATCGTCGTTCTGCAAAACTGCGTATCTGACATTGGCTGCCAAAAATTGGATTTGGTCACACAAGCTATTGGCTCAATCCTTATCCATTCGTCCTGAAATATACTAGCCAGAAATGCGATTGCTTTATAAAAAAGAGAATCATTTTGAAATATGCATTCGGATTTTGGCAGCGAGCGTGCGTGGGTCGTGCGCGTCTTATCCTTTTAGTTTTTTGTGCGTGTACCGTTTTGACTATTTTGACTAGTTGGCTTTTGTGACCGCGTGTATCAAACCTTTAATTCGAGTGATTTTTTGTATAAACTAATTTAATCTGGGGAAACATTCTTTGGATTAGCCTTGGCATTTTGTGTACTTTTTCTCTGTGTTTTTTAAAAAAAAAGCTTTGTGGTAGAATTTAGGGCAATTATTCAAGTTGCCTATTAAAACAAGAAAAAAGTGCCGCTAACGGCACTTAAAAAAGCTAAGGGCAGGATCATTGTATAGGCTTACAAGTATGGAAAGCGCCATTTTGTTTGTTTACATTTGAAAACAGCTGAGATCACCTGATTTTCAATTCTCTCATTCTCCGCACAGAGTTACATTCAAGTTTCAGAAAAAACTTTAAAATGTAAATTGAGAAATATTTTAGAAAAATGTGTTTTTATTCATTTGAATTCAATAAAAAAGAAATTAAAAATGCGTGCCAAGTCTTGCATTTCCAATAATAACGATAAATGTGTATGTTCCAGGCAATAATTTAAAATATTTGTGAAACTTATCGTTTTGCGCTAAAATACATCAATGTGTGTGAAATTCGTTGTCATTGCTTTTGTTTTGAACATCATATTCGTGCCTGCCGGTGGAAAAATTAGGTAAATTTGCATTTATTTTTAAGAAAACATATAATTTAATATATATTTCTTTCCAGAGCGACATACGGACAAGTAAGATGATCATCGTTTAAACAAATGGTTTATTTTCTTGTACAAGCAGCCGTGGCCCGAGCAGCGCAAATCGTGGCAGAGAATTATAAGTAATAAGGGAAATAATAGTGCGATAAGAAACTGGAGCTCGGGGAAAACTATAATTTACGTCTCTACGCAGCACGTACGCATGTGTGGGTGCATTTGCGATTGTGGCCTAAGCAGCGGCCCGAAAAACCTTACCAAACCTTTTTTTATTTTACGCTTACATCAACGTTATGCCACAATCACGTGCCGCCGCAGCTGCAGCTACTGGCAGAGGCCCACAGGCACTCGTAAAAATTGGCCACTATTTACTGGACGCAACACAAGGTAGCAGTAAAGATATTGGACCTCATGCATTAAATGTGAGTTTAAGCTCCAACTCGATTTTCAGTACAAATTCTTGAGCTTAAGCTCACCCCTTTAGTGCAAAAATTGAGTCTGACCTTAGACTCATTTTTTATGCATGAGGCCCATTAAATCGCATAAATTGGTTGAAATGGTTGGAAGTGGACCAACAACTTGCTGCCTTCTCGTCAATTTGGTTACGTTGTGTTGACTAACTCCGGAGGCATTATGGATCTTGAGGAGGTCAGACGGTAACATTTGGGAGGCAAAATGCTAGGATTCCTTTTCTAAGCTGGGCACTGGGTATTCACACTTTTGTTAGTGTATTGAAGCTATTGCAGCTGGCAAGAGCAACATGTTTATATTATTTTTTACAAAAATAAAAAGATGAAAGCCACTTAAAGTAATGAGTAAATTTGCGTGGAAGAAAATAAAGAATGAAGAAATTTGTATTATGAATATCGAGGAAAATCGTTTGCATTAAAATTTCTATTCAAATTTTTATTTGAATTATGACATCAACAGGGATGCTTTGAAACGTATCTTTTGAAGAGAAATTTTTATAATTCTTGTGATTATTGATATTTTCTAGAATTAAAAAAGCTAGTTCATATTAAAAAATATATTTAGACCACCTTGAAACGATTTTAATGAGTATTCATAGCTTCATAGCAGTTACATCAAAATGCATATTTGACAAGAAAGAGTACAAGATTGCCCCGTCATAGTGGCGATGACATTTCTGTACAAAAAGTAAACAAAGCCGAATTGCATGTTAAAAGAAAATATCAGACCAGCCAATTTTCTCAATAATAAATTTTTCGATAGTAAGCGTGTTTTAATTGCGCTGAATTCTAAAAATATATGAGTTACAATGACAATTAATAAGGAAAATGTGAAAAAGCGGTGATTTTTCTGTAAGTATAAGTGAATTTCAGTACATTTAAAGTTTCTGATACGTCGTTTACTTTTAGATCAGAATTATCAAAATCGACAAATTCAAAGTAGGGGTATGTCTGACGGTGCCACCTTTGTTCGCTGCATCGTGCATATTGGGCAAATGACGTTTTTAAATGCATTTTACATACAAACATATGTACCAGTTCAAGATAAAAAAAGAAACCAAAATTAGTAATTTTTTTATGAATGTAGTTAAAAAAAGTTCACAGAGGAAATGCCGGTAATCAATCTATCGGCAATCACATAAAATCTATGTAGGGAAATTTAGATGTCAACAGAATAATAACTACAATAAAAAGCACCACAGAAGTGTGAGAAGCAGGCAATTTTTCAATCTGAGCAAAAAATTCTTTAAATGCCGTTGTAAAAAGGTCAATACATTTCTTATAAAATAGTTTGATTTTTGATGGGAGGTATAACTCAGTGAAACGGTTATTAAAGAAAATAAAATTTTTAAAAGTAATAAATAGGAAAAAAATGCACTAAAAATGTGAATTTAAATATTTTACCCAAATTCATAAAAAATTAAGAAATCGATTTTTTTTTATAAAAATGTCACTGTACAGAGCTATTTAAATCTATTTTAATTTTTAATAAATAACGTCATTAGCATATACCGTTTTTATAAATGAATCTTGTAGCGTCGCGCTATATACATACATAGGTACATATATATATTTTGGCTGGCGGAATATGTACTTTTGCCAACTAATTAAAAAAGCGTATGATTCAATTTAACCACATTAAAAAAGTATTTAAATATTTTATGGCGCAACACAGCAACACTTTTTGTATCACGAAACCCTTGAATACGAGCCTGTCACACACTGCCGCCATCATGCTTTTCAGTTTGGCAGGCACGTCCGCTGTTTGGCAGGCACGTCCGTTGTTAGAAAGAGAATAGACAAAAAGGGGCATAGGATTCCATACTTGTAAGTATATACGATGGGCAGGATGGCGTCGCCGACTAAATGGTCGGTGGCGTCTAGAGATGACCAAAATGATTGTGAAAGTGACGAAATTGACTTAAAAAAACATAAAATTATTAGCAACGAAAGTGTTTCTGGATTTTATGAGCTTACTCGCGGTGGTGGGCTTGTAAAATTACAGGAAAAAAATTAAAATGTGCAGGGGACAGTAACTGTACTGCAAAGTCAGGTGCCTTAGATACAGCTAGTTCGAATACCGAAAAAAAGTACAGTTTGAGTCTGTGGTATACCCACAAAACTTCAAAGGTGAAATCTTTGTATTAGTTGACTCGTCAGCTAATACACTGATGGCCAATGAAAAAATGACGGCTGGTTTGACCTTGTTCGGTCAAATTAAGGATTTGCGAATAAAGGATATGGACTTGATAACTGCTATAGGCAGAACCCTATATAAAATTACGTTTAAAAACACTTTTGCGGCTAATAACTTTGTTTGTGATAATCGAGTAATCAAAAGAAATCTAAGGCCATTTATTCCAAGAACCGCCTTGGAACTCTATGTTGTAGTAAGGGGTATACCCACGTGTTTTGATGAGAATGAGATTAAGAATGAAGCTAGGTCTGCGATTACGATACTTTCTGTTAGGCGTTTTACTAGAAACGATACTCTTAGTGACTCTTATGTGCCCACAACAACGTTGAAGATAGGTTTTTCTGGTGATTATATACTATGCGAAGCTCCCGGTAGAATTTTATGTTCCCCCACTTAGACAATGTGACAACTGTGGTCGTATTGGCCACACGAAAATGTCATGCAAAAGCAAGCTAAGATGTCTCATGTGTGGAAAACCAGAATGTAGGGATTCGGGATGTAATGCAAAAGTTTGCATTTTGTGTGGAAAACATGGCCATTCGGCCAAAAATAAAGAGGCTGGTCCGCGCTGGGAAAAGGAACAGATGGTGAATCGCATCAAGACGGTGAAAAAGTTATCGAGGAAGGAGGTGCTAGACCAATATTTCCCGAGGAACAATAGATTCAGCATTTTGGAGGTTGACGATGTGGCGTTTCCACCTCTCAAGTCACAAGGTAGTGAGTTAGCTGATAGAGATGAGAACATTAACAAAAATTTTACTCGGAGATTATACAGTCACACTGCCAGAAGGGGTGCGGCTTTTTCACCTTCTCCACAAACTAAAGAATTACCTAGGCGTACAAGAGCAAAAAATCCAGTTAACCCTGTTTTTAACACCCCTGAATATCAAAAGGGACTTGTATCTGAGTTTGAACGGCTAATAACGGAACTAATTAGTATTACTCAAAAAATTTCTATAGAAAACAATAACACTGAGGTTTTTAATGATATACAATCCTTAAAAAGTCAATTTGAGGCCATAATTGCCAATAGAGATGAGACAGAGATCAGTGGATCATATAACCCCTTTTTGCAAGATGAAGATTCTCCAATATAACTGTCAATCCTTTCGAGCCAACTTAGATTCAATAGAATATTACCTGCATAAATATGAATTTGATTTTGCCTGTTTTAGTGAAATCTTTCTTTCCAGTCGCACTCCGCACCAAAAACTTATTAATTTTAATCTTGTTAAAAAATATCGCCATGATGGTTATGGTGGTGTGGCAATTGCTGTAAAGAAAGATATTACCTTTAAAAAAATTCCTTTTTCCTCGGTCTATGATATTCTTATCATAGAAACCAAAAATTTAAATCCCAACATCATCATCTGTAGTATATATTTTTCCCCTAATATTGGCATTGGTGACTTCAATAATGAAGTGACCAGAATGTTAAACTTTTTAGAACCTTATAATAATGTGTTTTTAATTGGTGATTTTAACGCCAGAGCAGTTGCCTGGGGTGATAGTATAGATTCCAACCGAGGTANGACGATGTGGCGTTTCCACCTCTCAAGTCACAAGGTAGTGAGTTAGCTGATAGAGATGAGAACATTAACAAAAATTTTACTCGGAGATTATACAGTCACACTGCCAGAAGGGGTGCGGCTTTTTCACCTTCTCCACAAACTAAAGAATTACCTAGGCGTACAAGAGCAAAAAATCCAGTTAACCCTGTTTTTAACACCCCTGAATATCAAAAGGGACTTGTATCTGAGTTTGAACGGCTAATAACGGAACTAATTAGTATTACTCAAAAAATTTCTATAGAAAACAATAACACTGAGGTTTTTAATGATATACAATCCTTAAAAAGTCAATTTGAGGCCATAATTGCCAATAGAGATGAGACAGAGATCAGTGGATCATATAACCCCTTTTTGCAAGATGAAGATTCTCCAATATAACTGTCAATCCTTTCGAGCCAACTTAGATTCAATAGAATATTACCTGCATAAATATGAATTTGATTTTGCCTGTTTTAGTGAAATCTTTCTTTCCAGTCGCACTCCGCACCAAAAACTTATTAATTTTAATCTTGTTAAAAAATATCGCCATGATGGTTATGGTGGTGTGGCAATTGCTGTAAAGAAAGATATTACCTTTAAAAAAATTCCTTTTTCCTCGGTCTATGATATTCTTATCATAGAAACCAAAAATTTAAATCCCAACATCATCATCTGTAGTATATATTTTTCCCCTAATATTGGCATTGGTGACTTCAATAATGAAGTGACCAGAATGTTAAACTTTTTAGAACCTTATAATAATGTGTTTTTAATTGGTGATTTTAACGCCAGAGCAGTTGCCTGGGGTGATAGTATAGATTCCAACCGAGGTAAGCATCTGACGAACATCATCCAAAACTCCGTTTTTAACAGCCTTAATGGTGGTAGTTGTACTTACAAAAGGGACATCAGGTCTGAGAGTGGTTCTGTACTTCATCTTGTTTTCAGTAATAGTTCTACACGGTGTAATTGGTCTGTTGATCCCATTCGAATTGGGGGAAGTCATCACTTTCCCATAACTCTGGATACTAATGCGAAAATTAAAACTCCTAAAAGGTTCACGGTTAAAAAGAAGTTACTGAATTCTTTGAATGAGATTCAGTGTGATTCCAATATCAATGACCTGGAGTTTAAAATTCAGGAGGAAATTAGCAATGCAACGTATACCACTAGAAATGATAAAGTACCAAAATCCTGGTGGAATGAGAGGTTAGCCAAAATCTATAATAATAATAATAGATTGGCGCTTACACATATGTTAGTGTTTGGCCGAGCTCCTCCTCCGATTTGTGGCGTGCGCCTTGATGTTGTCACACAAAGCGGAGGGACCTACAGTTTTACGCCGACTCCGAACGGCGATTGTATTTTTATGAGAAGCTGTTTTTCATGGCATAAATACACTCGGAGGTTTGCCATTGCCTGCCAAAATCTATAGATTCCTTATAATTACTCATAAAAAAGCTAGGCAGATTCCAAGTCCGGAAAACTTAAAAAATCTCATCGAACAGCGTAAAATTTGGAAAAAAGAGGTCAAAATAGCCAAAAAAGAAAACTTTAATGAAAAAATTGATGAGATTAATCATGGCATGGGGAGAAGAGCGTGGAGCTTCGTTAAGGCATTGAGGGGTGACTATAGGCAGGAGAACACAGGTTCTTAGGATGAAGACAACAATCAGCAGTACCTTGATATGTTGAAGGAGCAAGTTTCAGCGCAGGCAGCTAATGAAGAGATTAACCGACCAACGGAGCCTTGTTATGATCTGGCGATTACTTATGAGGAAATTATTGATGTGATTGGCAAAAAGAA